CGATTTTACATGGGAAACAATTCAGAGGGGAGGAATATCCAGCTAATTGTCATCGACTCATTCAGATGGCTCTTGGATGCAAGCTTGGTCAAAATATTACCGACGAGCAGACCAGTTTCCGTTGATACACAGGGAAACATACACAAGTATGGGTGACGCATGACTTGTCCATTGTCTGGCAGAACATGGTAAGATGTGCGCAATGCATGCATGATCTCAAGAGCCTTTAGAAGTAAAGGGACACTTCACGTGTTTCAAGGGTGGACCAAAAGGTCATCAAACAGCTGTGTGATTAAGACTGTGAATAACACACCGGTGTTTGGAATTGAACAAGCATCTATCCGGCGTTCGTGGTTTCAGCCTATGATAAAAGATTGTACAACTGGCGTCTATTTATTTAGATCTGACCCCCCCCCCTAGTCCCGTTGCACACGTTTATGGAGACCAATAAATCCTGTCGTCCGGTCGAGTCTGCGGTCGTTGCAACCAAGACGTTCCAGAGTCAGTTTGTACGCTTTCTCTTCGGAGGTCAGAAACCAGATTTTCTCAGCTCCCTTAGATGATCATCTAATTGTTCGCGGCTCTTCCACACGACTATAGATCTCGCATTTCGTTGTAAACGCTCTTCATGAGTAAGACTTTCCCGTAAGATGCATTAAGTGATGCGCTTCCTGAGAGCATTTCCCGGGGCCTTTAGAGGGTATATGATAGTGCGGCTTTAACTCTTACTGGATAGTTGACCCTACAACCAATTCGCTGTCATGGACTTTTAGAAAGTGAGACAAGGTCTGCGAGACTTGAATGTATGATTCCGATCTGATGATCTTTACCTCTTGATCATCGCAATATTATTTTGATGAAATTTATAACAAATGGAGTGAGGGGATGAGAGGAGGCTGAGTTCGTGATGTCCGTTTTCTGATTCGTTGATCGTGGGCACTGAACTGAACCCCATTCCACTGAACTTCAGAAATTGAACAACCCAATAGGATAGTATGTTTTCAGAGAAATAAAATTGAACTAACTTCCGAAATGAATTAATTTTAGCCAGTGTTTGATTGTTTATTTCCAAAAAAGGAGCTTACCGAAATAGAGATTTCCCTTTTGTGATGTGAACATTAGTCGTGAAATCTCTCATGGCCTTTTCTTTCGTACTGCCTGATCGGGAATATGCCCGAGGCTTCTCCCCTCGATGCCGTTTTATTCAATAATCTCGGTGTGTTCCTCTTCTTTATGCACAACATCTCATGAACTATTAAATTTGTGTTTCTCTCATTCTGAATTTACACACAGTGTCTACCGCCGATTGAGTTGGAAGATTGTGGCTCTGTCGAGACGGTGGACTTTTCGTGGACGTACGTGTATCGCTCCCTTTTGTGTTTATGTGATATCATGTGTAAAAATAGTCTTACTACAACTAATTCTTTGTATGAAAATATGTTCATTCACATGCGTTAGTAGTATATCCGTTACTTTCTTTCTGCGCTTTCTAATGTACTTAGTAATCAACTCATATTTTTGTACGTTTCAAGTCCCACTTTTTCACCTCTTTTTACCAGAATTGTAACGGTGGTCTATTTTTGTATATATACAAGCTTTCAGCTGAAGTTAAAGCTTCAATACAATACAATACAATACAATATTCACTATGACCACAGCTGATTCAATAATATCATATAAATTCCACCAGACTGGAAAAGAACAACCTCAGGTGACTTATTACTTCTCCAAGGGACTCTTCAGGCCTTCGGTGTAAGGGCTCTGTAGTTCAGCCCCGGATAAGGAAGTTTAAATGCACTATTGATGAGCTTCTACAGGAGCGAAGCCTGAGTCTAGTGCATCTTGAAAGTATGGTTAATCGAATGACCTAGGGATTGTGAAAATGAAAGTTGCACAGTTGCCAAGGTTGTGATTGACCACCTGTGAACTTCACCCTTCCAATCAAAATTTCCCCCTTTTTTAAATTGCAGTCATTCATTTTTCGCCTTCGGCACCGTGTCCGGCGTCATTGGGATTGTGGATACCACTCCAATGCGGGTTCGCCAAAAATGGACATACAGCGGTTTCACAGATGAGGTTGGTCATTTACTTTTGCAATCATCATGTCATGTTTCAAATTGAATGCACACACAATAATGGTTTTGTTCATTGTGGATTTCCGAATGGGTCGTTTACCGATCGGGGCCTTATGTGGTTCGCTACTCAAAGTCCTGGGGCTGAGGTTGCCGGTTTCCACCAATGAGCAACAGGTCCTCGTGACTATGGGGTTCGCCCCGTCTGTTGTTCATCACACTTAGGTGTGTAATAAAAAAATTACACATCCTATTATCTTGAGTCGTAAACTTAGTCTGGTGCGCTTCTAGAGCTCATTCCATCTGGTTCGGAGGACAAGGTTGGCGACGACCGAACGTTTGCAAGCAACAGTTCATTACATGTTAACTGTCGAAGGATGAAGTTCTAAATGGGGGCAGTATCTATTGAGCAGTAAGAGGATTGCCTACTTGGTTGCCGTTCTGGAGAATAAAATGGCAGGTAACACTAATGACTACAGACTCACTTTTTCTCCTCATATGTCGTCACTCGAGATCCGATTAATGAGCACACCTGCTCAATCGAGAACACTGTCAACTCAATTTGTACCACTTGGTCATCCATGGAATAGATTTAGTCTTAAGCTGGGCGTCACTGAATCTTTCTCTCTTACTAAGCTTCACCGGCTTTGGCGGTTTCGAATCTCGGACTGTACAACCGTACAATTTGCCAATGTTGGAGGCTTGAACTGTTTAACTGATACCAGAGCTTGACTAAATTATTCGCTTTTCACGTTAATCACCTTCGTGTTACCGCTACACAAGGAGGCATTTTTTTGGGACGTCACAAGGAACGCAATCCGTTACAGGCATTGATTTGTTTATTCTCCGAGCTACACACGCACACACATACAAAGCCCACAGACTCTGCTTCCTCCACGCCGGTCCATTTCCCGACCTGACGGTTGTCAATCACATCAATATTCGAAACTGATGTTTGTTTGATTTTTGTTCCAACTATGAGTCATGCAACTCAGTTCATTATATTATTATATCTCACACTTGTCTGAGGCCAGACTATGTGTCAAACAGATAATGGTACAATAATCTTTATAGAAAAGAAAAGCGTTCCATGATTGGCTTGTGGGCTGAATGCTGCCAGGTTGCCCAGGCCAACGCAGGTGAATTTTCTTGAGGACTGTATCAAGTAACTCGATACAGTCTTCCAGGTGCTATTTGAACAGTTTCAAACCCTAATCCCTGTCCTGACCACGACAATGCCGAATGGTGGCGTAGCCTTCATTGATACATCGTGCATTGCTCATTTCGGACATGCTACTTTCATATCAACAACGCTTGTCAATAGAAGTCTGGTAGCAGAATCTTCAGTTCCGTGTGTCCTGAGAAATAGGGATAAAAATTAATTGCTATAGGTCGCAAGGAATTGCCACTGTATTCTAAACTCTTTAGAACAAGTTGAGCAGTTCCTTTACCAGTACTCCTCCATCTCTAAAAGTGGTTGGTGGTATGTATTCTTTGATAGGGACATTTGTAGTATTTTGGAAATACAAATGCTTTGAGGATCCACTTCCATGAGAGAGGGAGGAGACAGACAATGGCATTCGACCCATCATACCGGACAGCGATGTTCATTTACATACTATGTTTATTACTCATTGTTTCACCAGGTGTCCAATTTAAGTTTTCCAATGGTTTAATACTCGGTGACGGGAAAAATTTACCTCGATGGTTCTGATAGACTGAATTTGTGCGAGAACAAGGTGGCTTTTAGTCATCAAGTCTACGGTGCGGACCTTGTTATGGTTTACGACGCCTACATAAGTTATAGCGTGTATGCTTTTTAACTGAAATGTGAGCTCCACTGCTTGCAAACGTTATACACAATACAAAATAGAAGAGGGGGGCGTATTCACACTCATTTATAAGGTCACTCGAGACTGAGAGGCGGAATTAGGTGACCCTAAGTTACCCACCACCGTCACTTCAATTAATGCGATCACATCGAATTGCCCCAAACCTGATAAATATATACCTAGTTATGTGATGAAAGGTTCATCTAAAAGGATCTTCTGATCGAGTGTCAAACCATTTTCCATAACTACTACCAAATAATTATTTATTCTTCTCTACATCGTCAAGAATAATTACACTTCAGTCTCGGAGTTTTACACCTCCGTCTTCCAGCATTTTCATCAAAATGCAATAAATGCACCGTTTCGCGGGGATGGAGCACTCACGCGGAACACAGTTCATCTGTTATTCAAGTAATTGTGCATTTTCCGAATGTGTGAAATGTTTTGTTCATTGTACAGCATATCACACACACACACACACACACACACACACACACACTGCATGTCATTCTCCTGACTTTCATCTCGGTAGCACATAGTTTTCTTCAACGAACAGCACAACCACGTTTCACACACTCTCATACACTGGCTCCCATTTTTATAGGAAAACGAAGGTGCTGGAATCACTGCACTTCTATGGAGTCAAACTGCACCAATCCTGTTTACATCCACATCAGATGGGGCAGTGGTTTCCTGGCCGGGCCTATCCGGCTCGTTGGAACTTGGCGGGTCTTCTGGTATCGCATCCGGTCCATCACCACTGCATGTTTGGTTGGGTCATCAGGCTATGATATTGGATTTGGCTATCACAACGGGTAGCGACAACACTACCGCCAGCACAATAAAACTACCAGAACAGGCAAGGGCTCGACAACTCCCGTCGGAAAAACTCATCGCGTCCGCCTCGGACGATGCCACTGTCCGTATCTATTCGGTGACACATATGACATGCGAATGATGGTTGCCTTTTGGTTGATGCAATTTGAGCACGCTTTTCTCTCCTTCGATGATCGTGCGTTGGACCTAATGTCCTGCTTTTGCTGTGCATTTGTTTTTTTGACTTCCATTGCTAGCCGATCAATAAAAATGATTGCACATGTGATCAGGTTGTTCTTCCCGAATACCGGCGTCGTCGACTTGGTATCACAGGCCGAAGTTCACGTCCAGTCTCAAGCACCGAAACACGGGTTCAATGAAGCCCCACGCTCGGATTCTTTTCTCGCTATAAACGACCATTCCCATCGCACTTCTGTGTTCCCGGTTTTGGTTGCTAACTGCATATCCTATCCACCGATAGGGTGAAGGTGAACGGGAAGCTGAATTCATGTGCGGCCAGGATAACGATGTAAGGTGAGGAAAAATAACAAAAACAACTATATATATTTTACAATAAGTAGTATATGAATGACTGGACAAATTTTCAATGGGAGCACACGACCGGTTTCGCGGTTCTTGCCGCTCTTCAGGTGTACGTATCCGGTAGTCTCTTGTCTTTTCATTCATATACTTATAGCTAGGAAATGTATTTTCATCACAATAATCTCAATTGTTTGTCGCATTTGTTACGGTTAGCAGCATCTAAGCCACCTACAAGTCATCGAAGCAGCATTGATTCTTCAATGACTGGTTCTGAAAGAGCTGTTCAACTAAATTTATCGGTGCTGCAAATGAGGCTATTGTGACGAATATACATATATATATATATATATATATATATATATATATATATATATATAACATTTTTGTGTGATGAACAGCAGACAATGTGGACCCCATGGTTGCGAATACCTGCTGTTCAGTGATGGAGACCGGTAACCTGAATCCCGGCAGTTGGAGTGGGAAGCCATATAAGGCCCCTCTAGGTTGGGCGTGGTATCCAACCGGACGAGAGCAAAGCTGCCTATCAAAAATTGGGTGATGATATCGAGGTTCGAACCTTGGACCATGGGGTCCAAAGCACGCCAGTGACANTGACAGTGAGTGAACCAGTGCAAAATCACTACCTCCACTGTTCATGCTTCTATCTTTTTATGGCAATTCCTTCTCCAAATGGGAATAACCGAGAGTTTTGCTTGAATAAAACACGTGACTGCCGTCGTCCAGTCTCCAACACGTATCAAGGAATTGATGACTCTCGTGTGAGGCATTGGGGTGACCGTTGACATTGATAATTCGGATGTGATTTGTTCACCAGTATGTTTTAACCAACACGAATGTGTTCGACAAATCTTAGTTTAAGTTGCCACTACCTTAGTAGGTGGCTGAGCCTCCGCAGAAGAATAGGTACGATTGACACTATTTGGCATAATGTTTAGGAAAATAATACTCGTAAGATTGGCCTGTAAAAGTTTCGCGAAAAGATTTATTAGAAATTGTTGTGTCCCATTTAAATAGGTAAATAAGAAAACAATCACTTATGCAGTACGTTTATTTTTGGAGGGCGCACATGTAGCCGGTCCTATGGCCCATAAGAAAGCAGGGATTCACACCCGATTTGTGCAGATTCCAGCGAGATAAAACCTCGGAGTTTGTACAGACGTCGCTGTAGAACATGTAGGAGTAGGAGGTAGACAGATGGATAGACTGTCGTATTCACAGAGGAGTGGAATAAAAACGATTTTCTGTGCAGCTATTTCACATGCGGATATTTCACAACTGGTAGTGAAACAGAGAAACAATGAGAGCGACTTTGCTAAACAACATCTATACCTTTCAACTTCGAGTGAATCCATCGTACGATTTGGTCGTAACTTCTATTTAATCCAATCAATCGCACTCCATTGGAAAAACCCACAAGATGATTGGTGTTTCAGCCGTCAAATATCACCGATTGGACCGGGTCTGTCTAAATCCCGTTCAGCCCGAATGAACTTATTTCTCCGTGACCAAACAAAAGTACTTTTGAGTGAGTTACCGAACGAGAATGAATGTTTCGGTGGGGTGAGTTGGGCCGTTCTTCCCCCGTTCCACCCGGGAGCGTTATGTTCGTGATCGTTGATAGTGTGTGCGTCACAGACACGAATGGACGAAACCCGAAGTTAATTGACCTCTATTGGTCGGGAATCACGTCAAGACGGATCGATAAATCGGTCGCCATGCCCAGACGTGAATGTGAGCTCGATTCATTGCATAAGTGGAGTCAGTTGAAGCCCTCAATAACCCAATGGGTAAATTCCATTGAGGACGAGTTTCTCTCGAATAAATCCGATTCCTTTGAATCAAATGCAATTGCTTACGTATTTTTGACATTGAAATGCACACTGGAAAAGATACTTAACAATTGTGAATAATAAGAACCTATTCACTAGCTAACAGAAATCATGTTTTTTCTCTGTCATTCCCTGGCTGATTAATACATCAATCCACGATGCCAATGACAACAATCTGTTACCTGCGGCTTCTCCCCTCACTACTCAGGTTCATCGCACAGGTTCTAGTTTTTATTGTATCTCTGATCAACCCGTCGCATCTTTTCACATACTGGTTACATTTGTGCGATCATTTATAGTTTAGTGAATGAGACAGGTGGTGATAAGAATGAGTTACAGCTATCCATGATTCCACAAGCGATGATAACTCCGAACTGGGTGCTCCATGAGGTATTAAGTAGAGGTCGGTAAAATATTCTACCTACGGTTGTCATGATACTGAATGTCGAGTAAGAGAAAAAGTTCAGTGGCACCGTGGATGTCGCTATGAAAAGTGACGACAGAATTCCAAGGGTATGCGGATACACTTGAAGTTGAAAAGATATGGTCTGCCAAGGAAATGTTTGACTCTGTGTAGTTTAAAAGAATAGACATCGAGCTTTCGTTTCATTCTTATATATAAAATGTCTTCAGTTTCGGATTTGCATCGTTCCATTCAAATAACGAGTCGGTGGCACGGAAGAAAAGAATGTTGAGCACGGTTGTGTGTGTGTGTGTGTGTGATATTACACGAGTTACATAGGAGTTCGAGTCATTCAGAAAACATTGTCTGTATTGTCGATTGGAGACTCGTTTTGTAACAGGCCTTACCTCACTCTATCGTTTTCGGCAAGCCTCTGTAAGTACAGAACTCAGTTTTACTGCTTTTGAACACATCAAGCAGAATTGTTCACCCGAGTTGGGGTCACTTCGGCTGTCGACGGTAAGTGATGCTTGACCTGCCGGACTTGGTGGCACAGTATTTCGGTGATCTTTTAGATGGGTCTGAACAATTTACGCATTCACATTCGGTGTTCCGTTTTGACCGATTCATAGGCGATTTTCGTTCCCCCTTCTCTTCAATCCAATTAGTTCCATCAAACGTTGGAGGGTACAATAAATGTAGGTTCCACATGTGTCGGAAGAGCCCACGAAGGGGTACATGAAAAATAGAGTCATTTCCGCCAGGAATTTTTTTATCTACAACGGTAAAACTGGTTTGGTTCATTGCTTTATGTCATTTGGTGACCGATGCACGAGTGCTGTGTTTGACTCGGGCTGCTGTCTCTGGATTACCCACTTTGAATGAAGGAGTAGAAGGATGGAAGTACTACCAAGGTGAAGATTCAGTTGAACTGACCTTACTAGTAATTTAAATAGATGTACGCGCTCCACTGTTTGCGTCACCTAGTCATATCATTTCGTACTAGTGATGCAAACGATTTCGAGTTGATTGCTTCAGAAGTGATGACTACATCTGTTGTTATTCTTGTTGCATCATGGTGAATGCGTTTATAAAGTGGCATCATCTGGACCCCATAACACTGCATGGAGAGGGGCAATGATGGAATTTCTGAACACGCTGATCATACTTTCAACGTTCGCGGTACAACTCGTTTGTCTTGTTTCCGCTCAACTCAGGTGTTGAAAAAGGAGGTGAATGTTTATGCAGTATTCAGAATAGGAGTCGGAGTCGAATATCATGAACTTGGAGGCGGACTGAAAACCCATTGAATAGTCAATTGAAATCGCACCAAAATGAGCCGTAGATACAGTTATTCTATTCGGAAAGTTGTACAGAAAAATATCACAATCAATAAACAATCGCTGGTTGAATCCTCGACGTCCAATCGACAACGAATATGGCTCACTTGGTTGCCTTCCTGCTTTCAGTCAATCCGATGGGTGCTACTCGAGAACACGGAACTGGTCGGGAAATCCGTTTTCTGATTGTCTACTTGAAGGCTGGATCATGGTGCATGCATGCTCGTTGAACGATCAGTTTGTCTTTCAAATTTACTTAAAAGCGTGAGAGAAATAATTGGAGTTGATGTTCTTCTGGACACATGGTTCCTGTTTGGATTTTGAGTGATCAAGACCATCGGCTTCTCATAAGTCTATCTGAAGCTGTTACGTCACTTCTTGGCTGTCACTGTCACTGGGCCTCGCCTATCTGATTCGCTCTTCTGTTTGTTATACGCAGTGTCAGTATAGGATTTTCTTTACCCATCATGTTTGGAGCATTATGCTGATTGGAAACATCAGTAGTTGGTGATTTGCCACCAAGCATTGAACCCTCTATTTCGTGGAAATCACATCAGTTTCGGTAGAGTCTCTGAAGCGAATTTTTGTTCGGTTTGGCATTGATGAATCACCGCATCTGTTAGTTTGTTTCACTCCAATGTTGTGTTGATTCCATACGCTAGTCACAGGCTATTTTCCCCGGGGAATTAACCACGCATTGCAGTCAAGATCACAAGCATCGGGACTTGAACAGTTTATCGCAATTTCTTTGATGATTGCATGTGCCACATTCCTAAACAAAAGCAGGAAGTTTTTCAGCAGTAGCTTTAACTTCGACAGTCCTTCAACTTGCGAATGCTATAGCACTTTGCACGCTTTTCATTAAATTTTCCATTGTACCGGTTTAACATGGATGATGTGGTGCAGTGCACAACTGTTGGCGATCATCTGAGCTGTGCAGAACGACCATCCGTTGTCGGTCATCAACACTTGCGTAATTCAAGACTGAAACTCTTCCGCTTCGCCTGTATTGGGAAAGATGAAGTACGCGTAATATTTAGGAACACTTTCGACAACTTTGGAAGAAGAACAGCTAAGCACTAGCGTATGGTAGTGACCAAAGCACGACCCATAGAAATTGATGTGTACATGTCACACAGTGCAACTCTCTCTCTCTCTCTGATAATGGAAGCCAGTTTTTCGGTCTTGATTTCAACTAGCAGATGTATACTTCACAATTCCAATATCTTCGTCCGGGCCGGGCCACCAACACATCGGTGGCATCAACGACGTCATCTTCTACACCTTGCATAAGGAAGATGGAATGATCAGGCAATCATTGCAGCACAACATCCCATATTGCTACTCGTGGGTTTTTTCTCGATGGGCTTCTCACAGCAGGATGATCGCTAACAGCGAAAATGACAAGTATCAATGTATTTGTTTCGATTAGTTACCCTGGGGGGATCTTGGGATTTCAATAATATTCCTATATACAAACAGAGGACTCTAGTCCGAAATAAAATAATGTGTATACTCAAATTTTGCTCATTTCCA